GTTGAAAGTTAACTCAGCCGACCTTTGGAGTGAGATCTGGGTCACCAATTCTGCCCCCTCCCATTCAGGGGTCACTGACCTACATGTCCCCTTAACCCTCAGCCAATCCACCCTACCCATGTAAGTCCCGGGCATCCCCAGCCCTGGTCTTCATGTCCAATGCAGCAAGACTCAAAGCCAATGCCACCTAGGTAGCTCTGACTCACAGTGACCCCTGGAGAGAGCTTCCTTGGGCTGTCCATCTTTACCAGAGCAGGTGGCCTCACCTTCCTCCAAGGCTGGTGGGGTTGAGCCTCCGACTTGGTAGTGAACAGCCCCTTGCTGGGCTAACCACAGCGTTCTCGAGGCCAGCAGTGTGCCAGGAACTCCCCCCTGCCACGTGGGCAGCACTCCCCAAGCTTCTCCCTCACTCTGCCTCTTCTGAGAAGCCTCCCTTGGCCATCCTCTCCCCCAAGCTGCTCCCCACCTCCTCCATCAATTTGCTGGCTGGGGGGCTCTGTCGCTCCCATGACACTGCCCCCTTTGCTCTGAGGCCCCCTTCCTGCCCAGTGCTGGGTCCCTGCCCCATGCAGACCAGTCCAATTTGACTCATAGTGACCCCGGAGGGCAGAGAACTACTTCACAAGGTTGCCACGGAAGCAGACCGCACATCTTCCTCAGGTGAGGTGACTTTGAACCTGCAGCCTTTGCGTTTGCAACCAAGTGCTTGAAGCCAGTGCCACAGGGATCCTGGGCAGGGTCTCAGCAAATGGACAGGCTTCCGCACCCTCAGGGGCTGGCTGTCCCACAGGCTTCGCTGCCGCTCCAGGGAGACGTCCTCTCAACACCCCCCCCCCTCCCCCAGGATGGCTTGCCCCAGTGGGAAAGGCTAGGGTGCCCGCGTTTGGCCCCGAGCACACCCATGCACACTTGGGAGACTGCCAGTGTGGCCGCGGTCGGCCGCGACTTCTGCAGGCGCTCCCTGCGGTCTGGGTTCCCCGACCCCACTTCTAATTTCTAAGGAAGCAGTTTCGTTCTCAAAGAGGGAGTGAGAAGGCCGCTGCTAGGAAGTGAAATTGACCAAGACAGGAAGTCAGCCCGGAGTCTGAGTCACAAAACGGTCGGCTGAAGGAGGCCATGGGGCACGGGAGGGGGGCTTCTCTAAGCAGGGTTCCAGAGAGCAGTTTCCCCTTGGGGCAGGGACTCTGGCCTCTCAGCCAAGTTCACATCCTTCAAGGAGGCACCCCTCCTCCCGTCTTGGAACGCGCACCACCAACTGAGCCCCGCCCTCCGCAGACCAGGTCCGGGGGCGGGGCTCTGCAAGGAGGCGGGACCCACCCCGCAGGCCACTTACTGCCCTCAGCTCTCTGGAAGCCAGGCCCCCTCCCCGGCAGGGGCAACCAACCCGAGGGTCCGCAGACCGCCCGCCCCCGGTGGCTCCTCGGGAAAAACACTCCCAATGGCGGCTTTCCCAAACTCTAGTATGCAAAACAGCATTTTCTGCCCCAGAACCGCACAGGGGAGGGGAAAACCCAGACAACTGGGCCTGAATCACCCCACTTCCGTATTTCGGAAACCCCGAGGGCTAGGCTGCTGGCCTTGCTGTGTGCACGCTCACAGAGTGGCACACGTCGGAGCTCCAGTCCACGGACGAGCACCACGTAACGCCCGGCCTCCACGCAGGGCCGTTCTCGTCACCCCCTCCCCGAAGGACGAGTCCCAGGGACCTGCCAGGCCCTGTGGTGTAGGCAGGCCCCGCTTCTGTGGCCCACGCCGGCCCTAAACCACACCATGTGCAGGGACGGCCGCTCTGGAAAACAACTGAGTTAGGGCCGTGGTTCTCAACCTTCCCTAACGCTGCGCCCCTTTAATACAGTGCCTCATGTGGTGGTGACCCCCAACCATAAATTTGTTTTTGTTGCTACTTCATCACTAAGTTTGCTACTGTCATGAATCGGGTGACCCCGGTGAAAGGGTCGCTTGACTCCAAAAGGAGTCTCGACCGGCAGGTTGAGAACCTCTGATTTAAAGACTCAAGGTCGAGGTTTCCTACGTAGACACCTAAAGGGAGGAGAGTAGGGGAGCAGTCATCTGCCTGCCCCAGTCGCCATTCCCACTACTTCACCCAGCTTAAAAAAAGGTGTGTGTGTACACGTGTGTGTCTCCTGGGTCCCTCCTGAGGCTTGTGCAGGAAAAACCCACAGGTGCACACCAGAGGGCACTTCTGCCCAGGATCTCTGCTGGCTAGGCCGGGAGGGCACCTCTTCAGGTCCTGCCAGGGAGCTAGAGCATGCTGCCCTTACTTCGGGGTTGAGACCAGAAGAGGAAGCCTCTGGGGCCTTGTGCTAGCTGCACCCCGAAGTTCAACACAGAACCCCGAAGTTCAACACAGAACCCCGGCCCTCTCCTGGTCCCCCAGGCCCTTCTCAAAGGAGGAAAAGCATAGTTCCAAGTCCCACTGGCCCAGGGGTTAGTCAGTCTGCCTCCATTACCCAGGGGCAACTAGCTGAATAGGATCCCTCACCTGCCCAGAGCATGCGGCATGCCCCATTCTCACCCAGGTGAAAATTGTTTCCCCCGAGCTCATGGCATGCCTCCAGGCCCCTGGGACTCTTCCTCCCCAGTGCTACACAAGCAGCCAGTGTGCACAAGGAGCAAGCCTCACATTGCTGCAAGGGCTGGGTCTTTTGGGAACTGTCCCAACTCTGCCACAACCAGGGGTGGGGGTGAGGGGGCAGGGTGGAGAGCCCACAGCACTGCAAGGCCAGGACTTGAAGCAGTCAGGCTGACTTCCCCAAGGGAGAGCTGCAGACTCCTGCCTTGGATGGCGCCAGGGCCCAGGGGAGGTGGGCAGTGAGGTTCCTGGAAGCCGTTTGACTCCATCCTAAACCTCATGTATCACCCGCAGAGGGAAATCCTGGCTCAGCCTTCCCCATCCCTGCCCCGGCCTAGGCAGGGCAGCTCCCAATCCAGGGAGACTAGCAGCCGAGTGTGGGTGCCCACTGCTGCTGAGACCTTCCACAACGTGCCCACCCCACCCCAGCCCCGCCACACGGGGCTGTGTGACCTTGGGCAACTTGCTTAGCCTCCTGGGGGGCGGTTCCCCCCTGAGTAAACCCTGCCCAGCACCTGCCTGGAAGGTGGAGGGGAAATGGCTTTGCTCAGGAATCAGCAGAACTTGGCGCTGGGCCAGGGCTGGGGTGCCACTTCCTTCAAGCCCTCCTGTGTTTCCATGTGGGTGCTGGTGCAGGGCGGCTCCTAGGGATGCCAGCTCCAACCACTCTGAACACCATGTACATAGGGCCCGGCCTGCAGGTGAGGAGCATGGCTGGCCCCAAGAGGGACCAGCTCGCTTGGGGACAAGGAGGGGGTGGGGGACACACGCCCACACATACCCACCAGGGAGAGCCCAGAGAAGCCCTGCCCTGCGGTGGGGTTGTGCACACCCCCGTCCGATGGCCCAGCCTCATTGCAGGGCAGGGGGACAGTGGTGGGGCCAGAGGAGCCTACCCAGGGCACAGGCTTAAGAGCTGGTTGGGTACTTGCTGATGGGGAGCTCAGCACCCTGTGACAGATCTATCACTACAGGGGCACGTGCCCTGTGTGTTCCTTACCCCCGACTTGGTGGGCAGCACTGAGCAACAGGCAGGCTCTAGGGTCTGCAAGCTGCTCACTGCCCAAACCCCTGGGGGTCTCATCTCAGGAATGAGATGAGATGTGAGCCAGGAAGGCACCCACCGCAGACACAGCTGGCTCAGGGGTCCACCTCTGAATTTCCCAGGTCTGAGCAGGGGGCTTAGGAACCTTCCCAGGCTCCCTGCCACCGCCGGTGGGTGGAGACAACACTACTGGGGCTGCCAGCAGGGCGTCTCTGGCTCTATCCCTGCCACCTGGAATGCACAGCCATTAGCTGCCACCCGGCGGTAATTGTCCAGATTGCTGTCATCCACACCAGACGGCGGGCCGGGGCTCGTCACATTATCACCAATGTCATTGGTTCTCTGGTGCCCTGCGGGGGCTTTTTCCGAGTGTCCCTCAGGGTGGGGGCACTCTGCTTAGCTGGGGGGGGGTCCTTGCCATCCTACCCACCGTCTAGGGAAGGGAGTGGTTGAACAGCTGGGCTTGGGACTGCATAGGCACGCTCCCACAGCCAACATCCCCACTCACTGCAGGGTCCAGAAGGACTTGACGGTGAAGGATGAACAAGTGGGGGCCCTCACCCAGCCAGCAGTAGGCGGATGTGCCAACTGCCCTGCAAGCGGTACTCCTTGCCAGGGAGGCAACTGACAGGCAGGTGCAGAGCATACCACGGCGGGAGCTGCCAGGGTGGGCGTCCCACGGGGTGGAGGGGTGTTCTGGAACTAGACCGTAGTGAAGGGTGGGTGTGCGGCACGGCGGCACGCTGGGGCAGCACCGAAGCATACGGCTGACTTAACTGCAGGACTCACATCAGATGGGGCCAGGGTATGGGGCTTGACCAAGTTCACCGAAGCCCCTTGTGTTCTGCGTGTGACATCTCGCTAGGAGGTGACCCTGAGGGCTGCGAGAGATGGGGCCACTGCCTGCAGCCGAGTCCCCATTACTGTTAGCACCAGGAATTGAGAAGCCCCTTCTCGGTACCTTCCCCTAGCCCTACTCAGACAGACTCGGAGGTCTCAAGCCTAGGGGCTGCTGTGGGCGTTTCTAGAACCCCTTCCCGGGCCGGGCCCTCAGCCCACCCACCACTGAACGCAGCAGGGGCCTGGCTCCCAGCATGGTTGCTGCTACAGGCCTGGTTCGGCCACCATCCGCCCACATTTGGGGGGGCTGTCAGGTGCCCAGCCCCAAGGGTCCTTGCCCAGAGTGCCAGGAAGGAAGCCCGTTCACCAGCCGAGGAGACCAACAGCAGGGCCAATGCCCCCAGGGACAGCTGCCTACCTCAGAGCAGGGCAGCCAAGGCCCAGGCATCAGGAGCTGAGAGAGCAAGGCCCCACGTCTGGGACGAGGGACCCTCTCCTCCGGCTCCTGAGAAGAGTGGCACCCATCCCGCCTGGTGAGCGGACATGCCAGGGAGGGGGTAGTGCAGGCAGCCCCATGGGCACAGTGCAGAAGGTCCCCTTGGGGACATGGCCCCTGTCCATCCCTTGGTGATCCCAACAGTCCAATCATTGCCACGGGCCACCCCAGACCCTGCCGTTCCTGTGGACACATTCACACAGGACTGGATTCCTGGAGCCGTTCCAGAATGTTCCAGCCCAGGACATAGGGCCCTTTAGCTTCTGCCCCGTGGGGACAACCATGGAGGCCACAGTGGCCCAGCCACATTCCTGCTGCTTGTCTCCAGGGCCACGCCGGCTACAGTCGTGACCATGAGACGCTGCACTGACCACGGCCCTCCAACCCCGACACAGCGGCCGGCACAGGTTCAGGCCCAGGGGAGCGCCATGTCTCGGACAAACCACACACCGGGTCTGCCGGCGGGTGCCCCAGCCTCACCTTTCTTGGCCGTCTCCATCTCCTCCTCGGTCCAGCGGGAACTCTCGTTCAGCTCCATGGGGACTGTAAGAGAGACGGGGGCACAGTGCGGCCCCCACCACAGGCTTTCTCTCCCTGGTTCAGGGGAGAGTGGCCGGGGTGGGGTGGGGGGACTGGGTTCAAGCCTCCTGTCTGAGCCCTTACACCACGATGGACACTAGGCTGGGTACTGGGGCGGGGGGGTCTGTAATCCCCCAGCTCTACAAATGAGGCTGTGGAGGCACCTGGACGCTGTGTGTGCATCCACAGAAGGGAAGGTGGCCCAGCAGCTTGAGGCGGGACAGGAGGGTGGTCCTGTCCCCACCAGCACCCAGCAGCCCCTCCGCCAGCTGCCAAGGCCGCTGACACCTCCTTCCCACAGCACCACTGGAGAACACCCCCTTGAGCCTGCCCCCGCATCGCTGACAAAGGTGGCCAGAACCCCCTTTCTGGGCTGGGATCTCTCCCTGAGACCTCAGGGAGACGAGGCCCCTGCTTCCAAGGCTCAAGTGGCCCGTGCAATAAATGGATTAGACTCCCCCCATGCACAGCAGGAGCAGCATGGGAATAAAGTAGCACCACCCCACCCCCTAATACCCAACCTGGATAGGAGCCCTGCCCCGGGGGCCAGCCTCAGCAGACAAGACAGACGCACCCATGTGCGCATGCACTGCCCCCCGGTGGCCGAGCCGAGAACTACCACTCCATCTCTACATAGCTTTAGGCTGCAAATGACCGGGCGCCTGGCTGTTAGCCCAGAGGGGCAGAGGCCCCTCTGTGGAAACCCAGAATGCCCCAGGAAGCTGAGGCCAGCCTCCACAGGCCTGTCCTCAGGCCACCACTGGCTCTTCGGTAAAGAGGAGAGGGGAGAGGGGCACCAGGCCATGGTCCTTCACCCAGGAAGCAGAGGGTGAAGCTGAGGCCTGGGGAAGAGGAGTCAGTCGGGGGCAGGCTGGAGACACAGGCACAGCCCTCCTGAATGGGTGGTGGGCGCTCAGTCCCCAGCCACAGGTGACCTGTGAGCTGACTCCAGAGTCTAACTTCAGAATCCCTGCTGTTCCCACTAAGCTGCCCAGCCCCTCACTGGGCCACTGTGGCTGGAGTGGAGAACTAGGGACGCCTGACAGGCAGAGGCAGGGCGAGAACCCAGTGTGGGTCACCTCTAGCCTGAGGTGGGTGGGGGCAGCGGGGCAGACACGGCCCCCTAGATGTGAGGTGTCTGGAGAGGCAGGGCTTTCTCTCAGGGCCCTAAGGAGGGGATTCAGGGAGTCTTCAGGTGCAAGGGAGTAGGAGCTGGGCAGCCAAGAGGGACACAGCCCAAGGACTTAGCCCTGTACCCCTTCCTGGAACCACCACACCAAGGGGTCTTGGTTTTCTACATTCCCTCCTACCCATCCATCCGCCCCCACACCCACTGAACCATCCTCCCACCCTATCCTCCCACCCTATCCTTCTACCCACCTCCCTGTACTTTTCCTCTGGCCCCTCACCCACGCGTCTATCCAGTCGTACTGAACAGGTAATGGGGGCAGCAGTAGTGAGTACCTGGATGGTCACTGTGGCTAGCCCGGCCTTCTCTCTTCCCCAGGAAAGCCCCCTGACCCTGTCCACCTTGACGCAGCCTGCTCTCCACTCAGCCTGCCCCCAAGGACAGCTCCCTCTCCCCCAGACTGCTGCCAGCCAATCACACACAAGAACCTGGGAAGCAGGCCTCGCTGAGAGGTGTGGCCAGCAGAGCTCTGGGTGTCCAGTGGCCCTCCAGCCGACTCACCCGGCTCGGCGTTCTGCAGGGGGGTGACGGCCTCCTCACTGCTAGCCTCATTGGCCATCGAGCGGGTGATGCGGCCTTTGCGTCTCCCCTGGCTGTTGGCAGTCTTGCGGCCTTTAGAAGCCACGGCCTCTTTCTCGTCATTGTCCTCACCCGAGGTATCGTCGGCCTTCTCCCTAGGGAGTGGACAGGGAGGGACCCGAAGCAGGGGCTGTGATCAGACGCTAGCGAGGAGAGCCGGGAGAGCTCTACCTCTTCCTTCCCCATCGGGCTCCCACGAGGGAACTCCACAGTGAGGCAAGAGCTGGCCGCCTGGGCCTCCCTCGCCCCGCCAGATGAGGGTATCCGGGCAAGTGCTAGTGGGTGCCTCTAACTGACCAAACCACTAGGGACCCTGGAACCCTGTCGTGGAGGCTGATGGAACGCGGGCTGGACCCTGCCCTGAGGCAGTTCTACCTTCGCAGCTGGGTGAGCCCAGGGGCACCGGCTAGCACCCATTCTTACAGGCTAGCCCCAACCCCACCCCCAGGCTGCACCCAGAGGACCTGAGATGAGGCAAAACCTTTGCTCCGGGGTTAACCAGGGTGTGTGTGGGGGCGGGGGGGGGCACCTCTCCTGCTGACCTAGGTGGGTGCGCCCACGTGGCCAACCCCCAGACCCGGACTTTCAGAGCCTGCTAGGGAGAGTTTACAGTGGGCCCACCAGCGTCGTCACCCAGTCTCCACCCTTAACCTTAGGGAGGTAGAGCCAGAG